TTGTTAAAAAACCGTACCGGCAGATTCAAGATACCGTTTCGGAGTAATACCGGAATAAAACCGGAATATACCGGATAACAAACCTGAATAAACTAAATAGCCCCATTTGTTATTTTTAATGTCTTGGACCTGATGCATAACTTCAGATTAGTCTGAACATTTGACTAACTTCATGAGAATAGCTCATAGGATTCGCAGCAACAGGGGTTGTGCTTCACTTTCAGAGCGATAGGAGTTCATCTACTATCTTATTCTAGTTTCATGGTAGAGCTGTGAACCTCTAAGCTCCTCGGCTAGTTGAAACCAATTTATCTTTCACAAATATAGGAGAACTGAAACAGAAAGACACATATAACATATAATACAGCTCGCTGGCAAGAAAAAAACGAAATTTGCTCTCACTTCAGCTTCAGAATTGGATATGAACCAAAACAGATAGGCGAGGCACGCCGGCTGAGGATCAGGAGAGGCGAGATGCATGCCGGCTGAGGAGCAGGAGAGGGAGAGGCGAGGCGCGCCGGCTGAGGACTGAGGAGCGACAGAGCAGTGGAGCTGAGCAGCGCGGCGGCGGATCTCCTTTCGTCGGTCGCCACACGCAGAGAAGATGAACGCCGATCGCGGAGCAGGAATCAGGTCTGTGGGTCACTTTCGCGCGCCGATCGCGGATCGCCGGTTGCAGGCGACCAGATGAGATGAGGAGCGGCGGAGCGGGGCTGCGTGTCCTCTGGCTCTGGAGAAGAAAGAACCAGGAAACGAAAGCTCCAAAGGCAAATTTTCGATACATTAGGTTTTTTGGATTTTTGGCTTTCGGCCGAATTTTTTTTATATTTTATGTGCCAAAAACGACGTAGTGTTTGTTCATACAGCTTACCGCCGTGTAGACCAAAACCGGCTGTTTTTTGTTTTGTGCCGGTTAAACCAGCAAAATCGGTCGGCACGGTAATCTTCCCGCAGCCAGCCTGCCGTATCGTCCCTGGTCCGGTTTTTGGTTTTACCGGTTGAACCGACCGGTACGATCCGGTTTCCTGGTCCATGGCACAACGTAGTCGGGATGGCAATGAGTCGGGTTGGGAGGGTTTTGTCAAATCCAAACCCAAACTCATGGGTTTATCCGTAAAAAAAAATCGGGGTAAAACCCGCTGGGTTTGAAAAACTTAAACCCAAGCCGCTGGGTATTCGCGGGTTCATGGATACCCGTGGATTTTTGTGGTAAAAAATTTACAGTAACAAGTTTTTTTTTATAAATAAAAGTTTAACATCAATTTTCTTATACAAATTATTCATACAAAAAACACCAATCTAGAGCATACAAGCAAACCGCAAATGATCAATACAAATTGTTCAAAATTAAAGATTCTTCCTCGTCAACTAAGTTTCTTCACTCTCCTCTCCATAATATCAAATTCATGCTAAACAATTAGAAAGAACAAATTATACATGTCTTCACTCTCCTCTCCATAATATCAAATTCATTCTAAACAATTAGAAAAAACAAATTATACATGTCTCCACAAACATAAAAGAATATTAGTCGTTTAAGGAAGATATATTGTTTAGAATATTAAATATACCGGGAAAATAACTATATGTGTGTGGGCGGGTACCCATGAGGCGGGTTTACCTAAACCCAAATCCAACCCGGTGAATAGTGTAGCGGATTTAAACCCGTACCCAGCCCAAAAACCGTCAATATGGGTTTGGTCGGGTGAGTAGCCGTGAGTTCGGGTTTTGTTGCCATCCCTTAGATAAGCAGATATTATACGCAACAGGGCCTTGAAAACGAGCGTGAGGAGAACGCAGCAACGGGAGGTGAGTCGACCTCCTGTTGGAAAACGAGCCGGTCTGGTATGGTGTGTGGCCCATGGAGTTGGAGCCTGAACTGGATGTGTCTGCCGGTTTCGACGCGGGGCGACTGTTGCTATCTGCAGAAAGAAATCTCTCTCACTTTCTTTTCGAACTCCTCTACTAGGAAAATGAGATGATGTACTCGTCAAGCAAAATATTTGGGGAGCTGCTTTTACTATACACGATCTACATGCAAGCAAGAAATTATTCATGGTAGCAGTGTGCAAATGCCAATGCCCGCAGGCAGGCAGCTGCAGTAACAACAGTCCGTATATGTTGATAGAACGTGATGATGACGTTGGTCACCTGGGATCATGATGGGATAAATTGGCAAGTAATTAATTAAAATTTTGGAATTTTGGTCATGAGGAGAAAGGGAAGGGAACATACACACGTTTATCAACCAACTCAACACAAGACTAGCTATAGTCTTGTCCCGTTTGTCATCTTAGAATCAAAGAATGTAAAATCATGCCAAGGTTATACCGAAAAGGTTAAAGATAAGATATTTTTTTTGTTAAAATTGTGGTTTAACCATTTCATATAATTAAAAATCACTTATAGATTTGGAATTTGGTAATAGTTTTTTTTCTCAATGAGGTCACTGATATGGTTTCACAAACACTACCTAAAATTAAAACAATAAAAATATAAACAAATGGGGATCCAGGCTTGGCATTGCCACGTGTGCTCACTAAGAGTGGAAGTTATTGCTGGTTGGGTTACCCATCCCACATTTTGTGGTTAACCACATCCACAAAGTTGTAATTATACTAATCACAAACCACCCCGCAGTAGTTAGTGGGCACTACCCACTGCGGTTAGGTGCAGGTTGGTTATGGTCACCAGCAAAAATTCATCCTTTTGACTTTTGCTGCGGTTTGGAGCTGCGGCCGCCACCAACGAATATGTTATTCACAATTAGACTATAGTGATATGTTGTCGTATTGTTCATGGATATGAAATTTTGTATATCTTACTAAGCGTGGGGGTTTTTCCTTTTCGAGTTTGTTATTCGACTTTTGTGTCGGAGAAGAAAAAAAAAAGACTTGAACATTTTTTCTTTACAAAATGCAAATTAATTTCACACAGCACATGCTCTAACTTTTCCTTTTTGAAAATGGGTTACTTTTGTCTTTTTATAGAATTAGTCCTTACTCTTTATATTATAAAATATTATCAATAAGTATGATGGATCTAAAGATAAATCAAAAGTTTGTTAGACTAATGTGGTTATAGTTTATTTTGTCGGTTAACCGCGATGGTTTGGTGCTTATCCACAAATCGCATACCAAACTTTCATCCCTAGTGCTCACAACAATTCCCCCTAATTTCATCTTTCTTAGGTCATAATTAGTAGTTAGGATTCTCTAAATTTATGCATTCAATCGGTTTATGTATTCTAATTAGATGTATTATTTTAGGGTACGTCTATGGTGCCTTGCAAGTCACCGTAACTTGCTTTGAAACGATCTTGCTTTGAAAGCTCTATATCGGGAGAAAAACCTACTAAGGTCGACCAAACTCACTATCATGGTCACTCTGATGAAAAATCACGGTCAACTGTTTTAAGTTAAATTGATACCTTAATGGTCGACCTCAATAAAAATTCGGTCGGTCTTTCAATGTAATTAGAAGCAAAATGGTGGACCTTAAACATAAGGAGGTTGACCATTGATGGCAGTCATTACCTAAATGGTCAACCATTTATAGAAAGAGGTCAACCGAAAAGAAGACTAAAGTACTATCCATTCATCCATCCCCCTTTGATGTGAAAGTATATAAAAAAATGTTGGTTTCGCGGTTGACCGCATACAGTAAAAGGTCGACCTCTTATAGTAAAATCAACCTATGACCTTTTACTTTTTTGCTTATGCATGGCGATGTGTGTGGTTCGTTTGCTCGTACAAATTACGTTTGAAACCAACAAAATCAGTCATCGATCATGATAGCAAGAAACCATAATTTCATAATGTAAAAACTTAATACACTAATAAGAAATACAATAAAACACACCCATAATTGTTCACACATACCCAAAATCGAAAACCACATAATATCAATCGACAATCAAAGTTGTTTTAAACTGAATTGTATTTAAGACTTTAACAAAAAAAAAGGTAAATACAATTTAATATCCAAACCTTTCATTTTAAATAATATAATAGTCAAACCTTTTCGAAAACAATCTAATATCCAAATCGTCAACTTTCCGTTCGTTTGACCGTTAGTTAACACTTCAAAAAAGTTCGAAGTACGACACTTCATCTATATCCATCAATATCTTCTTTGAAAAACCACCAACATATCGTGGTTCCAAACTCGAGAAGTCCATGACTCCACCATGATGGTATAGAATATCTAAATATTCAGTCATCTGCAATGCCAAAACAAGAAAACAAAGTTGTATTGTGACAATTTCCTCTATACAAAGCTTTTTTGAAGTGCCAACCAACGGTCAAACGGACGGAAAGTTGACGATTTGGATATTATATTGTTTTCGAAAAGGTTTGACTGTTATATTGTTTAAAATGAAAGATTTAGATATTAAATTGTATTTACCCAAAAAAAAAACACAATCTAAAATCATGGAGTTCATAGACCTCTCCCCTCTCTCACTCATCCGCATTTTCCTCATTTGTGGTGCTAGCATTATGGTAGTATAATTTGGTGGGATGCATGTACCTGGAGATCCAAACTCATCTCGCATATCTGTTACAGTCAACTGCAGTATGCTCATCTGGGTGGACATCTGCCGCATGTAGTCGTACATGCTAGTCATCTGGGTGGACATCTTCCCCATGTAGTCGTACATGCCATTAATGCGCTGCCATATACAATCTATGGTGACTGGTGGAGTTAAAATTTGTGGTTGCGCCATTGGCTCGTCTCCGCGCTCATCATCATCATCATGGACTACATGAGGATTGTATGCTCAGACATACACACCATCATGCATCTCAAATCTCATCTTCTTCAGGGATGTATCTGTGTCGAACTCATGCCTTGTGACTCTTAAGACAACCTCACCACTTGAATCCACACCAAAATGCTCAAATATCAAAGGCAGGATCATCCCATAGGGAAGATTCCTGTATGAACCCTCTGCAACAGCAATCATGTGTTGAAAGATCAAGAATGGCAAGTTGACCTTCTCATTTGAAAAGGTTGATGAGGAGCTCCATGTCAAAGTAGGTGACAGCCTCCCGATGTCCACCCTTTGGAAGAATGTTGTAGGAGACCATATGGTTAAGAACTGTGACTTGAACTGTCAGCTGGCAAATAGTTGGCCTACTACGATCCTCAACATATTCCTCTTCAGCAAGACCACATACAGTTTGTATTTGCTTGGTTCTCGAGAATTGAGTTTCATTCCAAGCATTGTAAGAATTGTTTCTCTTCCCCATATTTGGAGTCTCCAATACTTCTGCCAACACATTCTTGATGGTACATATCTCCACCCCATTCACATAGCTTTTAAAAGCATGAATCAGTCCATTTGTAGAATGTTGGTAGACGATGTTGTTGTAGAAGTACTGTATCATTTTTGGGTAGTATGGTACATTGAGAGACATCACTTTCATCCAATCTTGCTCCACAAATAGTGCAAGGAACCCGTAATCTTCGAAATAAGCATATGCATCAGTCGTCAATGGCCTTCCAGGAGCCACCCTGCGATTGTGCATTCTCCTCTCTTCATATTTGTCACTTTGCTCCTTGCCTTGGTCTGAAATAGAGTTGGGTTAACTCTTCCCATTCAGAATTTGAGGCAGCCGCTTTGAATGACTTTATTTTCTTCTTTCCTCTATCAATCCTGAGATCAAAGAAACGAGAGTTCATATGAGGCAAAGGACAACAAAACCGATCGACCTCACTGTAAATAGGTCGACCAAAATGTACCAAACAAAAGCAACCGACAATAGACTCGGTCGACCTCAATGTAAATAGGTCGACCTCCCTGTACCAGGTAGAAAAAATGAACGAAACACATCCATTTTGCTAAGATCGACGAAATCAACGTAAAGAGGTTGACCTCAATGTAAGTATGTCGACCTCTCTGTACCAAGAAAAAGCAAAAATCAACCAAACACGAATCCACTTTGCTAAGATTTACAAAACCAAACATAATAGGTCGACCTCATTGTAAATAGGATGACCTATTTTTGCAACCAGAAGCACTCGTCGACAACCAGCGAACCAGAAAACCTAATTTTGGGGTTTCAAATCGATAATTGGAAATGATAATCTGAATCCAAATAGAGTCAGTTGACCAGGAAAGGAAGCGGTCAGCCGATTCTGGCGAACACCAACCAGTAATCCGATTTTAAAAATTTTGGGGTTTCAAATAGAGAGTTCCAAAATCATAATCTGAATCCAAACTGAGCCGGTCGACCAGGAAAGGAAGCGACTGACCGATTCTGGCAAACAGCAACCAAAAATCCAATTTTTCAGATTTTGGGGGTTTCAAATCGAGAGTTGCAAATCATAATCTGAATCCAAACAAAGACGTTCAACCAGGAAAAGAAGAGGCCTACCGATTTTGGCGAACAACATCCAGAAATCTGATTTTACAGATTTGGGGGTTTGGTAAAAATATGCTATTCTAACATGAACGAACAAAACTGCCCCAAATGACAAGAACAGATGAGAAACATACCTTATTTTGGTTATGAGAAGCTGAGAATGTGGTTCATTGGAGGTTTTTGTGCTTATTCTATGTTTTTTTGGCGGTAGAAGAAGAAGGGAAATGAGCAATGTTGTCATAACCGAACCGGAGCATGACCCGGTAATGCGAACGGCTCACACTTTAGTGGTCCAACCGGCATTAGACCGTTTAAAAACCGTTAGAGAACCGGTACCTAATATACGTTATCAGTATAAATAGTGGACATTTATTAATCAGAGCTCATCTCTTTCCTTCGAAATTGTGAAATGGAAATAAGGATTCAGTTTGAGAGCCCTACGTTTATTGTTTATTTCAATTTTCAAATTTCTGCAATTTTTTTAATTAAATTTAGTGACTGAATGGCAAAAATCGGACCAGCGGCTCAATCGGCTTGAACGGTTAACCGCCTCGACCGCTCGCCAACCGCTACATAAAACCGGAGCGACTCTTAGATTGTTTCGAGCCGGTTTTATGACCGGGTGGCGGTTTTACCGGTCGGGCCGAGCGGCTCGGCTCGGCTTTAATAACACTGGAAATGAGAGAAAAGAAGAAAGTGAGAAAGAGATGAATATAGAAAAATGAGTGGTGGAGGAGGTTGCTGCATAGTGTAGTAAAATAGCTAGGTTTTTAGGGTTTGACCGAATTTGTTTTTAAATTTGGTCTAGGCAGCAGAACAAGGAAGTGGTCGACCACGTTCACAAAATGGTCGACCGACCCGTCCATCAAGTCGACCAACCAGTCCATCAGGTTGATCGTTTATTCTGTTCCAGAAAATTTCAACAACCAAATAACACTTGCTTATACTATGAAGATAATTTAAAAAAACATAGATCCGAAAATAAAACACTACAATCATAGTTAACAAAATAAACTTTGAAAAAAATAATACAAAAAATTCATGTTCTTTTTTTTTTTACTTTGTTTCGGACACTTAGGGTGAAAATGACCATATTTTCCACATTTCAAACACTTTCTTATGCTTTTGGCCGATGCATTTCGTGCTGACTTGAATGTTCCCTTTTTCTTCCCAATTTTTGAGTCTTTCACGCTTGGAAGAGGTGCTGGAGGGTTTGCAGGTACAGTGATATCCATTCTCACCCTCGATAGCTCAATTCTCCCATTGAGTAAGGTTATCCAACTCCTTAAAGATATTATTAAAAGCAGCTTCACTACCACATGTAATGTCACACAAACGCTTACACTTCAGTGACAATCCCCCATGTCTTATCAGTCGATCGACTTTCTCTGTCACATCTCCTCCAATTCCAGGATTACGAGATAATGTATTTACATTTTGGGTCCATCGAAGCTTGAACCACATGGAGGGTAGTGCTGTAAATCCCTTATTTTTTTTTATGACTGTAAGCATTTGTCTGCATGGAAACCTCTTAGATTCAAACAATGCACACTCACATTTTAGATGTTGATTGGTCGTAGTAAATGTTAACCTACTTCTCCAATTCAAGTCCATGCAGTTCTTAAGAATGAATGTCTTTGTCTCATCTGCTTCGTTTCTTGTCTCCGCTAACACAAGAAGCTTTGTTCTCTCGTTCAGATTTGAAGATAGCAAATGTACGATGTGTGTAAATACTTTCAGCTTGCATTTCCCATGTGCGAAGGGCATGCTTGCAGACCAACCTCGTGTGCCTAGAAGAATAATCATCATGCACCTCTGTGTAACGCATCCCCACTAGTGCTTTATCAATGCACTGAACAAAACGTTGTAAGCTGTATTGAGTTCCTACATACCCATTTATGTAATGGTTACATGACTTACATCGCGAGATTGATTGGAGTCCACCGAAATAAATATCCTTCAATTATGTCTCTATCCAAAGTGATTTGTCGACGTACAAATCCTTCAACCACTTATTTATAGACAAACCATACTCAGTAATTAAATGCTCCCAGTGGCTCTCAAACTCCTCATTTGATATACGTGATTTTGCCAAGTGGGTGAATACGCTAACGAATTCTCTATTACGAACAGCTGTTGTCGCATTTGTCTCAAAATGCCCAATACACAGTCGATGAGGCATTATAACTAGTATAGTAGAAATGACGGCACACATAGACTTGCATCCGTCTATGATCACTAAAATCGGCATATTAAAGTTCATACGCTCTAGGGAAAGTATTCAACAACCAACTATAGTTGAAGATTGTCTCGTCATCCAAATGGGCAAAACCATATATGATTTTATGGTGGTGGTGATTTACAACAACCATCATAACAAATGGCCGATTGTACTTGTTGCGCTTGTAGCATGCATCAAATGCCAAGACATCCCCATAAAAATGGTAATATGATCTAGATGTGGAGTCCGACCAAAAGAGATTGTGTAATGCACATTGATCATTGATTGTGTACTTGAAGAAGCTTCCTATATCACAAGTATACTTTGCAAGTAACTGATAGACCATTAATTGCACATGTTTTTACCCCTATTATTGAGTCGTTTGAGATGTTAATTCTCGTGTTTTAAGCCGATTTCATGCTAGGTTGTGTGTTTATGTCATATTTCAGGGCTTAGCGTTAGCATCGAGGAGAAGAAACGAGTTTCGGGTCGAAAGGAGCACGTTTGGGTTGAAGTGCGCTGGAGGAGCAAAATACCCGGCCATGGGCAGAAATACCCGGCCGGGTATTAATCGGAGCAGACCGGGGAAAACCTGTTTTGGGCGTTTGAGAAGCAGAAGGGGGCCCGAGCATTAATAATTAAACCCCGGTCGCGTATTCTTGACCCTGACTGGGGATTAACCCCTGTCCCCGACGGTGCGTTTCAACAATCCCCGGTCGCCACCCAAAATACCCGACCGGGTATTCTGACCGGGGATCGCGAACGCAGGCTGTTAAAAGCCTGTTTTGTGCATTTTTTCAAGGGGAGAGCTGGGTTTTGGATCCCAAACACCCAAGGGACGAACCAAAGAGAGAGAGAGGGCAATTTGAGGGCATTCTTGGAGTGGAGCTGGAGGATTTCTTCGCCTAGGAAGCTCGAGGAACAAGCCCGGACTTGAAGACTGATCATCTGAAGATTCTTACTGTAATCTCTCTCTTCTCTATGGAGTAATTTCCCTTCACGTAAGTTTTGAGGAACCCTAGCTATGTTTGTTGGATTGGATGATTGTATGAGTACTCCTACTTGATAATCTTGAGTTCATATTCAATCTATGCACATTTTCATGATTCAATTCTGCTTTAGTCGAGATTATTGATTCTGCTTTGATCCTGTGAGAGCGAATACCTGATTAGGTGAATAGAGCACCATAGATTGATAGTATTGGATCGATTGCTTTAGTCAAGGGTCGATTCACTGTTTTGTATGGATTAAAAACCTCTTTCTATAGAGGGAGTCTAGTTCAGAACGCCTTGATCGGTTTTTCTAGAGAAGGATACGTCCTTCTAGGCAATTGTGAATGAAAGTGAAACAGGTTAGAGATCATCAATCATTAATCTGGCTAGTGGCTAGGGGGAATCATAGCTAAGTGAGTTCCCAACCTATAATTAGATAAACTTTAACTGTAGTTTGTTAGAGTAGTTTTAGTTGTTCCATCTTAATCTGATTTCTAGATAATGAACTGAAGCTGAGTAATAGTAACTCTAGAGACCCGTGGATTCGATATTTATTACTTGAGCCACTATACTGCAGTCCCTTTCATTGGTTACACTTGGCCATTGTTAGGAGTTGTGTCATAGCGAGTCAAGTTTTTGGCGCCGTTGTCGGGGACTTTCTAGATTATTAGGAAAGGCAGAAGTTTGTTATTTTAGCGTTTTTCTTTTCTTTTTCACCCTTGCTTTTCACTTGGGTGTTATTGTTTTTGTTGGTGCAGATCTGAATCATGGATCCTCATGGCTTCTCCAACCATTGGGGGTATCCACCACCATCCGAGTGGTATTACCCCGAGACTCCCTGGAGCAATCAAGGAGGAGAAGACTATGGATTCGGGTTCCAGTACCAACCCCCTTACTACGGAGAACAATCAGACCCCTGGGCATATCAAGAACAACCTCATTACCAAGTA